GTATAATCACCGGAGATAAACAAGGGCAGGTTATACTTTAAAATTTTAAAAATTCAATGAATGAATGTAAGAGTAGTTGCAACATAAAGAAGCCGAGGTCATTTGGAATAGGGTCACTCGGATTCTGTGTAGGTAATAGTAAGCATTTCTTTAACTTGGTTTTTCCACTTTCCAACGATGCAAATAAAAACGACGACAGAAAGTCCTACCGAATTCGTTGATAATTATGAAAATAAAAAATATTATGCGCTTTTGATTATAATGATTTTTTCCAAAAAAAAAAAAAAAAAAAAAAAAAAAAAAAAAATTTCACAAAAGTGGATAATTAGAAAGAATATTGGCTAAGAAGAGGAGAAAACATAATTGAATATTATACTTACTCTCGGTTATTTCTATGTACTTATTATGTAACTCTAGGGACTCGAAAGGAGTGAGCGAGATCGTTGGACGATCAGCCATTTTTTTTATTGCCAAGTTAAAAATGTAATTATTGAGACACAATCTTGCTCTCGATTATCCACTTACCTTGTCCATTATAAACAAATTCGGCTCGAATAACTTTTCTTACTCCCTTTTAATTTCATTTTATTCGCGATGCGATACTTCGCACCGATTCGCCTTATCAGAAGCTAATAACGGTATCTCTCGACGGACGTAGGGGATAAAACACTTTTATTATGCCAACAATGCAGCTCATTAAAGAGGCAATTTACAAGCTTAACGTGTCGGTGGATTGCAACTTCTTCTTATTTATTATTTTATTTTATTTTTATCCTTTTTTTGTTTTTATCAAAGCTCGCTTTGAATTACCGAAGATTTTTAAAAGCCGATAGTCGGAGCAATCGAGGGCAAGGTGCATTTAACTTTAATGCCCGTTGATTTTCAATCCCAAGGTCGTTGATTCAATTCCAATCGGCCGGACATCGCCACGTTGTTCTCGTCGCTCATCTAGCTCCGGTTACCTCCCCTAGCCCCTCCGCCGCGGCAGCCGCCAGGTGCCATGGAGTCGGGCCGTACGGGGACGGCGCCGCAATTCTTCGCCAATTACGGCCAGTCGATCGTCCTGGCGATGGTCCTCGGGGCGCTCCTTTTGAACATGCTGCTGAGATCGTGGCAGAGGGCCGCGAAGCCGAGGCCCAAGGAGTCGAGGCCAGGCGAGTTCTCATCTCTTCTTACATTATCCGTCGCTCCGGTTCGAGGATCTGCGCGTGTACGTTGATCGATCTGGACGGCAGCAAACAGCCTAGGACAATCAGGAATTGACCGAGTGCACTTTTTAATAAATTTGTACAAAATGTTTACCATTTTATTGCGCAATGGTGGCCTTCGAAATGAAGGCGCTTAGAAATTTGTAATGCAATAAGTAAATTATTTTGTCTCGGTATTAAAAAATTAAGCGTCATTAATGGCATTTAAATTTCAAAACCACTTTGCAGCAAATTCTTCAAGGAACAAAGCATTAATAACGTATGTTCCCGAACACAAGAACGTGGAAACTTTATATCAAGAGAATATCATAGAACTGTTTAACTTGTAGCTTATCTTCTTATTTTTTTTTCTTTTTTTTTTCTTCTTTTTTTTTTTATCTTTTTTTCTACCAATAAAGAGCTACTTATAAAATATTCATAGTCAGTCGATAACCGCTTTGCGCGAATAATGACCTTACACACTTATATAATATATAAAAGAAAAGAAGAAAGAAATTATAATATGTAATCGTAAAATGTACGTTTTCCTTGCTTCCAAAGACATTCCATTTGAAAGTGATACGAGCGAAAACGAAACTCTTCTTATTAAGCATTATAATATAATTAATACGATCCATTCCGATTCCTCTTTGTGCAACGAAACGGAAATCCATAGCCAACGTTAAATGCATTTTATGGTCAATTAATGTTTTTCAGTCGAGTATACTTTTATTCATATTATGATTCATTTGCATTTCCAAGGTTCCATCGATACCATTTTTGCTTGGAATTTAAAGTCGAACAATCGTAGCGGTGCAATTGTTAGAAATTTTTGTTGTTGTTTTTTTTTTTTTGGTTTTTTATTTTCTTTTAGTTTATTTCACACTCGTGAGATTCTTCTTCTTCTTCTTCTTCTTATTTTATTATTATTATTATTATTATTATTGTTATTATTATTGTTAATTATTGTTATTACAGAATATATAATTATACTATAGCGTTGGGAGTAAAGTGAACTAATTTTTACGTTAAATTAGTGGTCGATAGCATTTTTACGAATTTTACATTTAATGGGCTGGAACGCGCTGGAATAGATTAATCTCGCGTTTATCGTACGTGACGTACGTCATCGTACACATGGCCAATCCATCTTAATTCGACTTTTATAAGGAATGCCTGGGTTGTAAAATAATCGATAATTAATTTATTGTTCCCAGACGATCGACGTATTTATTCGCTAAAGAGTATACCGAGCGCCAAATTATTTGAATGCCAATTTTATCGCTCTTTAATCACAAAATTCTGTTTCTGATACGGGGAAAAGCGTTGAATTTGTAAATGCACGAGGTGATAAAATATTCGAATGCCGCGCTAATTAAGCGACAGCTTCACAAAGACGCATCGCGCCACTCTCCAATCAAACGTCGTATTTATCTTTTCGGTAATCGGAATTTCTACTCTACACGCGGACCTTATAAACAGCATTTTACACGTCGACAAAGACGGTATTTTTAGCAAAGATAATCAACGGTCAACACACTCGTTGCCGAATGCTGTCGCGCGCGAGAAAGCGCATTGGGGCTTGAGAGCCTAAGCTTGGGCCAACTAAGCGAACAACTAAGCGGAGATATAATTGCAGAGGACGAGGTGATCGGGACTGCGATCGAGGAGTTCGAGTCGCACCTGGAGCGCGACCTGGAGCACGTGCTTTTCGAGTACAAGAGGCCGACGGAGGAGGAGTTGCGGTTGCGCTCCTTCGAGTTCTACAGGATGGTGAACGCGCGTCGGACGCTGCGGTTCTTCAGCTCCGATGAGGTGCCCCGTGAAGTTATCCAGAATCTCGTGAGAGCCGCGGGTAAGTTGGAAGATCGAGCAGCGTGGATGCGCTTCCTTCCTCCGTCTCAGTGTGCAATGTGTTGGACATTGTTACAGCCGAGCCTCTTTCTCCGGCGAAGCTGCGCATTGCCCTCTTTAGAAAGCGCGAGCTCCCAAGGAATTCCGTCCAATGTATTTATACATTTTTGGAGGCGTGATTTTAACGCGGTCGACTCCCAAATCCTCCTCGTGGTATTATTTTTATTGGGTCGAAAGAGGGGCGTATGCGAGCGATTTCGAGTATTTGCATCGTCTTATTCGCTCTCTCTCTCTCTCTCTCTCTCTCTCTCGTCCATTTATTTATTTATTTATTTATTTTTTTTTTTTTTTCAGTAGGCCAAAAATATAAAGAATTTCGTTACGCTTCGTTAATAAAAGCGAGGTATTTTGCCAATGAAGTATTCATCTTTTTAGACTACATTATTTAGGAAAGACCGAGAGGGAAGGGGACAGCGAATGTCATTACGGATAATAATCGCCGGCCTAATTATTCGCTTACTTTACATTTACATCACTTGACTTTGTAATATGCAAGTAAAAATATGATTAATCCTAACAGTATTTATCTTTGATTCCTAAACTATCGTCTTTTATCGTTTGTCTGCCTTATTATTATCAATGAATTATATTTCAGCTCTTTCGAAAGAATTTGTTGCGGGAATTTTCTCTCGACGTTCTTTCTCGCCAGCGAATGCGAATAACGAAGATTCCAAAATGGACGAGGCGAATTTAGAAAAAATCTGCCCAAGCGTATTTTTCGCTCGGTTCGTATGATCGATGATGGGATGCGCTGTTATCACAAACGCGAATGTAACTTTAGATCGAAATAAAAGAGGAGAGCGAGGATTTGGAGGTGAAGGAAAGGTGGACGTGAAATATGGAAATCCAATTCATTGATGAAAAGCGACATTAGCGCCAAAGGTGATCTAGTATTTTCACGAGATTTATCCTTTCTTCATGTGTTTTATTCATTATGTTTTTCTCTAATCGGAAAAACATTTGCATTCAAGATAAAAGAGGCTTGTTAGATTGCCGAGGCATCCAGCTGATAATGACCGGTTAAATGCATATCTTATACAAATTCAATTATAACCTTCAATTTTTCTTGTCTTTTTCTTGTATTTTGCTTTGTTTCTGTTTTTAGAATTTTCAACAAACGCAGGTTGAACGAAAAAAGTTGCACATTATTTTTTCTGAGCAAATCGTTCTGCTCCTGATCGTTTGGCTTTGTCGTTGCTCGCATTATTCCTCTCCTCAATTATACACGTATGATCGACATTGTACGTCGTAATAAGGAAATCGACGAATGCTCGATACAATCGCTCGATACAAATTCATATAGTAATTTACATTTAATACGCAAAGCATTGCGTGCACGAGAAATAATCGATGGACATTATTAAATCGAGCGTTCTCCCATTCCTCCCCGAGAGTCGTCCCATTTATGCGATCGATAAAACACATTTGCATCGCTGCACAAGCTCTTGCGAATGATCACATTGCGCGCTTAGGACGTGAAGGTGACGGCGATGAATAGCAATGAGATAGAGAGGTAGAGAGGTAGAGAGAGAGAGAGAGATATATATATATATATAGAGAGAGATATATATAGATATATATATATATATATATAGAGAGAGAGAGAGAGAGAGAGAGAGAGAGAGAGAGAGAGAGCTTAGGGAAAAATCTCCGAGAGGCCAGACCTATAGCATAATACATTACCAGCACTGCTCGTATAGCGCACTTACAGATGACTATTGCGACGATCGAGAGCCATTACCTCCTCTTACATTATTATTACAAAATATTTACTACAAGGTTAAGTCTTTTGTCTTGACTTTGTCGCGAAAGCAATTTTTTCTTTCCACTCGGCACATTTTGACGTCTCGAGGGTACCGACGCGCGCGCACTTCACAAGCAACAATTACCGCTACGATTCTTTAATCCAGACTTACACTATAATTCTAAGCAATTGTACCTACGAAACCTATTGTTAAGTGTATTGTCGCGCTGACTCCAAGACGTAACACCGACCGACGTTACAGCAAACATTAAAAAAAGAAAGAGAAAATAACAAGACGATAATAATCCAAGCTACGCTCGATGCAGAGTTATGTTCTAAATGACCTCGGCGACCTCGACAGGAACGTCGCCGAGCGGCGCTCACACGGAGCCTTGGACCTTCGTCGCGGTGTCGAGCGCCTCGGTCAAGCGTCAGATCCGGGCGATCGTGGAGCGCGAGGAGGAAGTGAACTACCGGAAGCGAATGGGCCACGAGTGGACGACGGTCCTCCAGCCCCTGAGGACCAGCTGGAGGAAAGACTACCTAACCGACGCCCCCTACCTCATCCTCGTCTTCAAGCAGGACTATGGCGTAACGACGAACGGTAGGAGGAAGGTGCATTATTACAAGGAGCTCAGCGTCGCCATCGCCTGCGGTCTCCTCATCACCGCCATCCAGGTACGCCACGCAGCTTCTCTTTCATCGAGCCTCTCCCGTCCACCCATCCACCCCCCACTCCCGCCCCCCACCCCCCCCCC